AAACATGCAGGTGGTGCAACTGGCTCCATGTAAACTCTGACGAGGTGGAAAAAACAGGGAGATGTTTCTAAGAAACACAGTTAGCTTTATAGAGTATCGTGAGAGCAGCCCACATGAAAAAATATGTCTGGCTCGAACACAAAGTCAAATGCAAAACAAAAATAGCCACAAATAGAGCAAAAAAATAACATTTGGCACAGTGGGACGCGAGTCTGCATCAGGTCAATTCCAGAATCCATTGCTTTCCTGTCACTTCTACACTATCCTGACATATCACAGGCATAAAGCCTTAATCAAAAGAAACATAACAGTTATAAAAATACATTAAAATGCCTTTAATTAGTGATTTGAACACCACCCTAGTCTAGATGATGAGGCATAATAAATTAATCACGCCGATTCTTTTCTACAAGCATTTCTGAGAATGATTCAAGGTGTGCATGTTCTGTTCTTTAGCGCACATAAATTAAGAACATCCATGTTTACGTGCCAAATGATGACATATCTCTACTTTACGATGTTAAAAACGAATGCAAACACAATACAAAGCATTAAAGTAATATACAAAACCATTCCAATCACTCTTCTATTTCACACTGTATGGAAACAATTAGAGGTCGACCGATGTATCGGTTTTTGCCGATTAATCGGCACCGATAGTTGATTGCTGGAACTATCGGTTATCATCAAAAATCCATGCCGATAGTTTTCCGGATTGCGTCTATTGCTGGAGCGGCTGAGAAGGGTCTGCTGTCATTACACAGTGCGAGAGCGGCCTCTAGTGGTTGAAATCATTGACAGCACGTGCTATTTGTTTAGACACGTGATACTGCACGCTGAACAGAGCGGGAAACTTAAATGCAGCCGACAGAAAATCCTGCCGCGCCACAGAGCGCCATTCACATAGTTTTCCTTTAAATTACATTATATTGGTCCCGAATCGTTGTTAATGTACATAATGAATTGTGTATTGTGCATTTTCAGCAAAACGTTTGTCTTTCTGTGGCTCTAATAAAGTCTGTGTGCTTCATTTATAGAGCTATAATATAGGTC